GAAGGAGATTAGAACACAGCTTTCTTCTACATAGTGTCACAAACAAGATAGAGCTAAAATTCTATTAGATCTTTTACCCTGTCATTGGGCACTGTCATCCTTAACCCGCAGCATATGAGCCTCCATGCTAACCTGCTGGGGCCAGATGATCTTCCTCAGATTCATACTCCCTTATCTCCAAAATGGTTTCAATCTCTGATTCCTTTTAGATACAGTCAAGCTATCAAGCAATCTATGATTTTACACCCTACTCCTGCGGAGATTACGAGACGTTTGTTCAGGCTGAACCCAAACAAATCTCCAAGTCGAAATGGCCTGACGTCAGGATTCTACAAAGCGGCATGAAATACCCTAGGGGAAGTGGTGGTTACGTGTGTGGCTAATTTCTTTGTTACTGCATTCATGTCAGCATCAAAGAACTCCACAATTATTACGGTTGTTCTGAAGAAGCCTGGAGCATCTCTTATCTCTGATTTCAGGGCCATCTCATGCTTAAACTCTCTATACAAAGCAGTTTCTAGACTTCTGGTTGCAAGATTAAAGCCCTTTTTGCCAGATCTTATTCTTCCCAATCAAACTGCATTTTTCAAAGATAGACTGTTAGTAGAGAACATGGTGCTTGCTAGTGAGCTAGTCCAAGGCTACTACAAAAACAAAGGCCCTAAAAAGATTACAATCAAAGTGGACATCGCTAAAGCATTTGACACTCTTTCATGGGATTTTATATTCAACTGTCTAGCTAGCTTATCGTTTCCCACGACCTACATCAGATGGCTGTGTGCATGTGTTTGTACTACAAGTTTCAAGGTTGGTTATAATGGCACTATGCAAGGCTATTTCAAAGGTATAGGAGAATTGAGGCAGGGTGATCCTCTTTCAGCCTATCTGTTTGTCATAGCTATGAATTTCCTCTCTCATATTTTGAATAGAGCAGTGGCTAAAGAGAGAATAAAATACCACAGCAATTATCAGCAGTCAAAATTAACTCACCTTAGTTTTTCCGATGATCTATTGATCTTTGTTGATGGTTCTATTGATTCGGTTTAGAATGTTCTTCAGGTACTGCATAAGTTTGAGCAACGGTCAGACCTTGCGGTTAGTTACCAAAAGTCTAGCTTCTTTGCCTCTATTTTATCTGAAAGGGAACTCGATCTCATCAAATTCTCTACGGGTATGCCAGAAGGCTCTCTTCTTATAAGGTATCTGGGTATGCTACTATGTACAATAAAACTTAACCTCACTAATTGTGCACCTCTCATTCAACAAGTAAAGGAAATGATTATCTCTTGGAGTGCCAAATCACTTTAGTTTGCGGGAAGGCTTTAACTTCTGCAAACCGTCATTGCAGGAATCTCCAATTTCTGGTGCTCCTTTTTTATCCTGCCTGAAGTATAAAGAAAATCAACTCCTTGTTTGTGGACTGTGAATGCAGAAAGTCATCATGGTGCTAGAGTGGTATGGGAAACTGTAGCAAAACCAAATATTGAAGGAGGTTTAGGATTGAGAGATCTCTAAGTGTATGGAATAGAGCCTGCATTTCTAAGCTGATCTGGTTGCTCTTCTTGCAAGCATGTTTGGTATGGGTGGCGTGGTTCAAGGATGAAATCCTTCATGGCCGTTTGAGTCATTTTGGGACAGTGAAGCCTCATGAAAAGAATTCATGGCTGGTAAACAAACTACTAAAAGTTAGAGGTGAAGTGTTCGCATGGATGAAATTGAAAGTGAGAAATAGTAAAGCTTGTCGATTCTGGACTGATAACTAGTCACCTTTTGGATCTCTTTTCTCTTTCCTTCAAAATAATAGGGGTTCAAGACAGGGCATTCCACGTAATGCTCTCCTTGCAAAGTTGTCTAGACAAGAATCCAAATCTTTTTAACAACCATCCAACTATCGAATATGGAGGATCAGTACGTATGAGAAATAAATGGGGAAAATGCCATTTAAATTCTCAACTTTCATATTTTGGCCAATTTAAGTACAATCTATCGGTTGGACCCTTTAAACTACAAACTTATATTAACTTTGTTTTTAAATCACTAACTTTGTTTGACTCTGCCAAAAAGGTCCGACGTTAATTTGATTAAAAGACCTATTTAATGGGGTTAACTCCTCTTTTAAGCCTCTGTTAAATCAAAACGACATAGATTCCATAAACATAAATCCCCAAATCAAAAATTTTCAAACCCTAAATCATAAAATTGATTTTTTCCCAAATCAAAATCTTCTCCTCCAGCTCTTGTCTAAGTTTGGAGAATTAAGACGGAGCAGGATTCAATACTTCTCTAGGTTCGAGAGAGAAGATCGAGAAGAGAAGCAAATAGGAAACATTCTCGATCTTGAAATCCCCAAAAAGTAACAATGGAGAGTGAAGAGAAAACTAAGGCTTGTGTGCATTCAAAAACCATATTTGCTTTTGGTCATATGGGTTCTGATCACATAGTGAGAAGTCCCATTGTTGTCTCTATTCCATCCAGTAGACTGCAGTATAACTAAAGCTTGTGTGCATTCAAAAGATCAGATCCAATCTTTGAGAAATAAACGGGCTTTAGACCATTTTTGATAGATTTTTCATGTGGTAAAAGTGTTCAAGTAGATGAGTTTTATAGTTGGAAGCTTCATTATGCATTATAACTTCATTATGCGTGCCTGTTATCATTTTTCTATCTCATCATGAGCCCTTCTTGTGAATCTTGACTTTAATCAAAATTTCTATGAGATAATCGATATCTCTATCGACGAAATTGGAGGAGTAGACTTTGATTTGAGAAAAATCAATTTTATGATTTAAGGTTTGAAAAATTTTGATTCGGGGATTTATGTTTGTGGAAGCTATGTCGTTTTGATTTAACAGAGGCTTAAAAGAGGAGTTAACCCCGTCAAATAGGTCTGTTAAGCAAATTAACGTCGGGCCATTTTTGGCCGAGTCGAACAAAGTTAGTGATTTAAAAACAAAGTCAATATAAGTTTGTATTTTAAAGGGTCCAACTGATAGTTGGTGCTTAAATTGGCCGAAATTTGAAAGTTGAAGATTTAAATGGCATTTTTTCACGAGATAAATGAGAAGCGCTACAAACGATATTATACTGGTCAAGTATACAAACTACGGAGGGGAGAAGTTTAAATAGTATCTTGGTACCGTGTAATCTATAATCGAGGAGGAATCCCGAAACACAACTTCATGTCTTGGTTATTCTTGTTTTGAAACGATGTCCAACGAGAGATCGTATCATTGACTGGGGTCTTTCCTATCTACTATGCAATCAAGCGGCAGAACTAGAGATCACCTCTACTTTGAATGCCATTTCGGATGGTATATCTGGTATTCCTTGGCTACTAGGTGTGGCTTGAATCCTCAACGGGCTTGGTCTGACTCCCTCAATCAAATTCAGACTCTTCAAGGGACAAAGGAGATGAAGAGACTCATGATTTTGACTTGACAGTGCTCGATCTACTCTATTTGGTTGGAGAGGAATCACAGGCTCCACCGCAATAGTTTTCGGGTTATTGATTTGATTCTCCAACAAATAGACTTGACCATCAGAAACCAGATTTCATGTTATCGAGATGGAAACTCGATTCTTGCGTCGGCGATGCTACAACTCTGGTTCTCGTCGGCGACGCGGTTCTCGTCGGCGACATGAACGATATACTTTTTTCACTGGTTTTGACCCTCTCTCATTATGGTCATCAACTGTCTACTATCCTCCTTTGCTAATTTTTTTGGTTTAAATTATGATCTTTTTGTGCATGATATCGAGATGGAACCCGATCTTTGCGTCGGCAATGCTACAACTCTAATTCTCTTCAGCGACATGAACAATCTATTATTCTACTGGTTTTGACTCTCTCTCATTATGACTATCAACCGTCTACTATTCTCCTTTGCTAATCTTTCTGATTCAAATTAAGATATTTTTATAATTAGATTATGTGATTTATGGGCTTGGCCCAAAAAATGAGTATTTACCCTACTATAACCTGACTTATAATAATTTTATATTCTCATGCTTTTATATTGTAAATCCTTGTTACAAAAACTAATATCTGTTTGTTTTTTGTCAGATTGTTGTTAATTAATATCTGTTTGTTAAAACGCCATTTTACAGAGTATTTTGTAATATCTCTCTTCTGAATTCTTCAAAATGTAGACGAGAAAAAGATGGAAGTTTTTCGAATCACAAGTTTTGAGGTTTTAATAAAGTGAAAGACTCACAGGGAGAGAGAAAAAGAGCTGGTAAAGCAAAAAGAGAGTGAAATTATTTCAAATTAAAAGTGTTATATAGTTTGGAATAATTATCACCAGTCTTCTTAACTTCTTGGGAGGAATAAACTTCGACAAAAATAGAAGTTTCATCAATGGGAGAAGATGGGGTCTCAAAAAAATTTATTTTTAAGGTTTCACAGATCCACCTGTCCTACACAGCTTCTACACTTTGTTTACAGCGACTCAGCTCAATGACTCAATACAAGAGATAGCATACGATCAAACGATCATAAAAGCCTAATCCTAATCATGATGATTTACCAAAAACTTAACAGATACCCAACAGTACTAAAACCATTGAGTTTTGCTGTGAACTCAACCTTTTCGAGGATTTATTATATTCGAATGAAAACTCGTTAAAGCCATATACGTTTACTATGTCTATCCTCCCATTGAGTTAACGATTGATCGTTATGATGACAATGACCACACCACCAAATCAAGCATCTAGAGGAAACCAACGAGACTTATTTACACACTCACACAACACTCAAGTCTAAGAGGGTTTTTGCCTATTGTTACACACCGATTCTACTTGGTTTATATACACAACAAATACATCAATCGCCATATCATTAAAAATAATGCAAATAAGCACTTGACCTTCACTTTACTATAAATTCCTCCAAGTACATACACTAAATGTTAGAACCAGAAAGAAAGTAAAAATATGTCTCAATCAACTAATCAAACAACAGTTTCACTCTTTCTCTCGCCACAAGTTCCTCTATATAATCTCAACAGAGCAAAAGACCATTTGATTCAAGAGCATAGTACATTATATAAAAGGTAACCCCATGGTCATAACATGATATCTGTTTTTAAAGACATGTACATAAGAATTTTTGACACAGTATATATAAAAAGGGTATAAGTCCAACTTTCACATATATATATAACTTAAAACCCTCTGACTTACATATAAATTACCTGGCCACTCTGCCCATTCTTCAATACGTCCTCCTTCTCTTTAAGTACTTTTCCTTTTTGGGTGAATAACCAACTGAGTTCCTTCGAATAGGTCTGGTAAGTAACTCTCCAAATCATCTGGTGTGTACTTTATGTACTTCCCCGCATGCCTACCACCTTCTAACTGACTCTTGTTCCTTCCAAAGAAAGCCCGGTAAGCCGGAATCACTTTCTCCGATATAGATATTCTCAGTTCTTCACGAAGTTGAGGATCCGGTACCTTCCAAGCTGTTTGAAGCCTGTACAACTCTTCAAAACTAGCGTTAAAACCTCTGAATCTCTCCTTTAACGCCATCTTCGAGGCACTACTTGAACTGTTGCTTCTTTGTCCGTAACTCGGGCTACCAGTTGAGCTCCCACCCATACTTTCGTCCCTTAAAGCAGATAACACTTTGCTCCATGAAGCCCTGAGGTAACCTGTAGCGTACTGACGTATCTGCCCTCTTCGTTTTCTAACCCAATCATCACCTAACAGTTTACCGAGCTCAGAATCCTTCACTTTCTGAACAACGTAGTAAATGTTGTTCATCAAGAACACATATTGCAACCCACCATCTTCGTACAACTTTGACTTCTCTTCAAGGTTTGATTCTAAAGACGTAATCAACTTCAGCATGCGTTTAGCAAGTGGAGACATCTCCTCTGAACAATCATTCCCAGATAAGCCATCTAATTCATCCTTCTCCAGAAGCGAATCTAAGGTAGCCGCGTAATCCACGATCAGTTTCATGTAGTTCATCACATACCGTATCATCGGATGAACCTCGCCGTTCGTCGTCGGTCTCTTCGAGGTCTCGTTCTTCACGTTATTTTCAAACTCAACAAAAGTCCCTCTCGCTGCATCACCTAACGCTTCCAACACACCTTTGGCCTCGTTCAACACAAAACTGTCAGTGACCATAACCTCTAGGCTCTGCAACACATTAGCCAACGCATCATACATATCAAGAATCCTAAACAGCTTCTCCGACGATCTCCTCCCTATCGCCACGGCCTCACCGAAATTCAACAGCTGCATCACACAGCTTTTAGTCGTCTCGTTGAAACACACCTCTTTGCTCGACTCCGAACCGGTGAAAATCTCGTTGCAGAGCTTGCTTTCACCAGCAAGAAGAACCCTAACAGTGATCTTCACAGCTTGAATCCACTTCTTCATCTTCTCGTCCATAGACTTCCAATCAATCTTCTGCACTTCTTCTATACTCAGCTTCTCCACACCAAGAATCGTCAAGCACTCGTCTAACGCGTCACGCCTCACAGTGCTATACACTTGAACACACTCCTTCTCGTAACCAGCTCTGATCATCCTCTCCGCGATCTCTTTCAAATCTTCAACAGCAGTGGGGTTAATCAAATCAACCCAAAGATCACACCCTATGCTCCCTCCTCTCTCATGGAACAGCCTCCTCCTACTCCCACTACCACTACCTTCTCCATCAGCAACCAATCCGAAATTCTCGAAATCCTCGACGACGTCTCCGTCCGCAAACGATAACGAAACTCGCCGCATCGAGCCGTAGAGCCGCTCGGCGTCGAGAGGAACGGTGTTACGGATCAGAATACGTCGAAACTCATCCTCAAGCTGAGACATAGCCATCTGCAAAGCACTATCAGCTCGGTCCACCATGTCAGGCTTGTTCTCAGACGAGAGATCCTCAAGGAGAGAGATAATCTCATCGACAGCTGATAGAAACTCCGTAGCTTCCTCCGGAGATTCGTCGAAGGAAAGGGAAAATGAAGAGTAACGGTGGTTACCGGAAGACGAAGACGAGTGACGAGAGGAATCGTTGCCACCGTCCCAGCGATGGATAACCGTCTCGGCGGCTTCTAATCGGGCAAGGAGAGCGTCGTTCTGGTCGGTCATCACCGTTTTGATATTCGACAGACGGTTATCGAAACTGGAGAAGATGAGCAGCATATCTTCGCGGACCTCTTTCGGTGTGTTTAGACTCTTCACGATCTGTTGCGCCGTCGCGAGAACACGATCCTCAGCTCCAGCACCACCACCAGCTCCGGCGCTTATACTCGCCGCAGTGGTTGTTGTCGCGGCCATCTACTAAAAAGGCTTTTCCACACGCACGCACAAAACGGAAAAGCGAAATACAAAATTGGAGCGGAAGGTGAATCAAAAAGATGAGCACATGGATTTAGGGTATGAACAGATCAAGATTTGGGGGAGAAATTGAAGAAGGGCAGAGTAATTTTGTCTAGGGTTTGAGTGGGAACAAGACAGCGAAATGGAAGACAAAAGGGGGATTTTTGGTCTTTCCCAGGAAAAGTCTTCTACGTTTTTGTTGACCCAATCATACTAACGTTTTTTTTTATATCGGTTATTTCCGGTTTAGTCCTCTTTTTTATTTAACTAACATCCAGGTAGATGTGTTGACTAAACGGTTTATGCTATCTGACCATTCGAGAGTGATTTAGGATCCAAGAATACCTTCACTCAAGTACACTGTAAGCATTAGCGACATTTTGTTTTGTAAACTAGGAGGGGGTTCGGGCCTGGACCTTAATCCCTCCCAAAGCCCGGAACCAACCTTTGCTACTACCTGGTGATATGGCGTAAAGCATCCTCCCAATCGGGAATCGTATTAAGAACACATGAGACCAACCCCTGCATTTAACCACTAGCCCACTTCATCCGGTGGTAAAATTTTTTACTTCTACCTAGGTTCAAACTCTTGACATAGGATACATAGAGCCAAAAACACTTTTAAACACTGAGCCAAAGACACTTTTTGTGTAAGCATAGGGACATGCGAAAAACAAATGATCATGAGATTCATCACTCTATTTCCGCACAAAATGCACCATTTGGCAACACCTCTTTCCGCTCGTATTTGAACTCTTGTAGGAAGACGATCTCTAATAGCCAACCACACAATAAAAAAAAAATCTAACTCTCTGATAAAACCAAACAAGTCGGAACCATGAAACACGATCAAGATGGGGACAAATCTATTGCCGTGTTTGTGTAGCAGCGAAAACTGGTTTGTACTCATTACTTAAATGTTTCCAAAGAGATAGATCACTTCCAAGTTCCAACATGTTAGAAGGTTGGCAAAGCTTGCCATGCTTTTTGACTTTGTCAATAAGACTATGCAAGTGCCTTCTCTACAACTGCAAATAGACTATTCCATACCTGATACCTCTTCAGACACTTAATTAAGCATTGAATACTTATACAGCGTGTTCCCATATTATATGAAAAAACCAGTCAGTTGGTCTATTTGGAACCATTCATTAAACCACAAGAAAGTCATTTTCCTATCTCGGAGTTTATATGGAATGAAGATGGCAACTAGTACCCTCATGGCCTCATTTAAGATTTTAGGCTAAATCCATGAACCTTTTATACCTTTGTTTATATCCCATAACGAGCTATCATAAAATAGATAATGTTTAGTACACATTATCCAGATGAGATGAAAACAGAATAGTTGGAGATAATAGTGATTATCGAGTTTACAACTTGCCCGCATAAATTAATAAATACAGTATATACGGTTTGGACTTCGGATACGGTTTGTAAGTGAAAAAATGAAAACCAGACATAATATGACTAAACTCTAACATGGAAACTTTTTTTTAAGACTAAACAAATGAATTGATATCAAAATGAGTTTACAAAATCATTACAAAACATTCAAAATACGTATCAAGTTACATAAACAGAAATATGTGTTGTTATATACCAAAGACGATAGAAGCTAGAAATTTTTTTTTGACAATGTTCTTCGTAAACTCTGTTGCGGTTAAACAAGGGCTTCTTATCTATTTTACCAAAATAAAAAAAAGGCTTCTTATCCAAAGACGGGCGACGGGCTTCCCTAAATTACATAACAAAACCGGCCCAACAAAATTAATAAAGATAAGCTTCAAAGTCGCCGTCGGGATAGAACAGCCACCGTGACGCTCCGCCGAAGGGCAGCTTCACAGAGGAGTAGATGTTCCAATCGATTTCATTTCTACAGAGATTCCCTTAGCTTCTTTTCACCAGGAGTCTAATCCTCTTTCAGATTTTGAATTTCTAAAAAGAAGAAGAGATGCGAGCAATTCACATCGTGACCACGCGACTGAGCTCCTGCTGCTTTAAGCCTATCCTTCTTCTCGACTTGGTTTCGGTTTCTTCTTCTCCGCGCAAGCTCTCCATCCCTAACCGTCGTTTCATCAGCGCAGCGACCAAGCCTGATGGTGGCAGGTCTGGTTCGATCGTGGCTCCGCTTGTGACCCAACAAGAGTTTCAAAAGATCGATGTCAATCCTCCTAAAGGAACTCGTGATTTCCCTCCCGAGGATATGCGTCTCCGCAACTGGCTCTTTAACCATTTCAAAGAGGTCCCTTCTTGTCAAAAATTCAAACTTTTGAGTTCTCTGTTTCGAAAGTGTCAATCTTTTGCTTTTGATTTGGAAGGTGTCAAGGTTGTTTGGATACGAGGAAATCGATTTCCCGGTGTTGGAAACAGAGGCATTGTTTATCAGAAAGGCAGGAGAAGAGATAAGAGACCAAGTTAGTATTTTGTTTTTTTTAATTTGCTTTCATATTCTTAAGATCTTTATGTTTAAAGAGTTGCAAACTCTGTTTATGTAGCTATATTGCTTTGAAGATAGAGGTAATCGTCGTGTAGCATTGAGGCCTGAGCTCACGCCTTCTTTAGCTAGACTTGTGATACAGAAAGGGTAATAAGCAATTAAAAAGCTTAGAATATTTTCTCTCTCTCGTCTTCAGGATTTGTACTTTAACTTGTAACAACTTTAACTTGTTTTGTTCGGTCTAGAAAATCGGTTTCTCTTCCATTGAAGTGGTTTGCTGTTGGGCAATGTTGGCGATACGAGAGAATGACAAGAGGAAGGAGACGAGAGCATTACCAGTGGAATATGGATATAATAGGTGTGCCTGAAGTAACAGTATGTATCTCTCACACTTGCAGTCACTTTTTAGGCCTTCTATTCTAAGTTTCTTGCTATGTAAAAAAATCTCGCACTTGTAGTCACACTTGGTTCTCAAACCTTCTCTTATAGGCTGAAGCAGAACTGATTTCATCTATTGTCACCTTCTTCAAGCGTGTTGGGATCACTGCGTCAGATGTTGGTTTTAAGGTTTCAAGCCGTAAGGTATCGTTGGTTATTTCCTTTTTCAATGTTGGTATTTTTTATCATCTTGTTTCATAGTTTACGCTCTAGATACATAACCTGCAGCATGTTGATATCTATTGTAGTTTTCATCTGCCATAACTTTCTCCTTGAACAGGTTTTACAAGAACTGCTAAGAAAGTATGGTGTACCCGAAAACCTGTTTGGAAGAGTTTGTATCATTATAGACAAGGTTAGTAGTCTAATGTTCAATATTCTGCTGCTTTGAAATGGCTTAACTTCATCTAAATCCAATAAATACTTAATCTGATTTTTTTTTTCACCCTTCTTACATATGTTGCATGCTAAATAGATAGAAAAAATACCAGTTGATGAGATAAAAAAAGAGCTTGGCCTCACGGGAATATCGGAAGATGCTAGTGAACAGTTATTGAAAGTGCTTTCTGTGAAGTCTTTGGATGATTTGGAAGGTATTTCATTTTATAACCTCTATTGAATCCCTTTATTCAAAACAAAATTCTGGTAATAAGAACTTCTAGTTTGTATAAGCAGATTCGCTTGGTGGAGCAGGAGAAGCCATTGCAGATTTAAAAAATCTGTTCTCACTTGCTGAAAAGTTTGGTTATTCAGAGTGGATACAGTTTGATGCATCTGTTGTGCGTGGTCTTGCTTATTATACTGGTATCGTCTTCGAGGTTAGGTTATATGTCATAATCTTCTCCATACATGGATAAGTTTGTGGTAACAGTTGATATAAATGTTTTTGTGACAGGGTTTTGATCGGAAAGGAAAGCTGCGAGCTATATGTGGTGGTGGGAGATATGACAGATTACTCTCCACTTATGGAGGTGATGACATTCCTGCTTGTGGTTTTGGTTTCGGCGATGCTGTCATTGTTGAAGTAAGTTACAACCTCTGCCTACGTTGTGAACAAAAGTTCAGTTACAGTATCTAAATCTCTGATCTTTGTATCTTCTTTTCGATGTAGTTGCTTATCTGAATCTCTGATCATTGTGTCTTCTTTTCGATGTAGTTGCTTAAGGAGAAGGGTTTGTTGCCAGAGCTGAGACAAGAAGTAGAGAACATTGTGTGTGCTTTGGATAAAGATCTCCAAGGAGCTGCAGCAACTGTTGCAACCGCTCTCAGGGACAAAGGCCAAACGGTTGATTTGGTATTGGAGAGTAAACCGATGAAATGGGTGTTCAAGAGGGCGGCTCGGGTAAACGCAAGAAGGCTGGTTTTGGTTGGGAAGACAGAGTGGGAAGATGGTTTAGTCAGTGTTAAAGTTTTGTCTTCAGGTGAGCAGTTCCAAGTCAAACTCAATGACTTGGAATAGTATGCAAGACGTTATTAATATGGACAATTGTTTCATTGTCTTTGTTTTGAAAAGCAATTGAGTTAAATTGGATTTATATTTGATCTTGGAAGGTTTATTTAAGAATCTTATTCATGGACCGTGATTCTTTGTTTATTTGTATAATAACGATTAAATGATATACTTTATAAAAATGGCGAGTAAGAGAAGTGATTGAGCAAGAAATATCTTGTTTTCTTATTAATTTATACCTTGAAACTGTATTCTTGTTTTCTACTATATAAAATGTAGGGATTTTCAAAAGATTTAACTGGTATAAATATGTCGACCGAATTTGGTGAATGAGTTTTAGTTGTGTTTAGTTATGAGCATTAGATATCAAAGGTAAAAATATTTCGGGAGATATGTCTTTATGCCGATAATTTCAACGAGGTTGATTAGTTTTTTTTTTAATTGCGTATCTCAATTATTTTAGAGTGAATTTAGTGAATATTAATAGATAATCAATTAATTAGTTATCAACGGATGATTTCAATTTAGGTGAATGACAAAGAGAAATTTTTTTTAACCCAAAAATATTCTTCTCTATTTCTTTTATTACACAAAATGCCATTAATGTTTTCTCGGTGAAACACGTGGAGACACTGTTTATCACTGTGGCACTGTTCATTACAAGTTATCTATTCATCACTGAATATCTATAAAATCATATGTGATTGTTAGCAGCTAACTTTGTTTGTTAACATGCAAACTAATATGGCATCACATAAATTTATGTTTATCATGTTAATTCAATTATCATGTATAGTGTGTTAACATGATAAACATAGTATCTAATATTTGTAACATGCTAATAATAATATCCTATATATTAAATGAGAATATAGTTTAATGAAAAAATCCGATTTGTTTTAATTTGATTGGCTTAGAAAACTTCCCTTACCAACGTCAATGATGACGTTTATTCCACGTCAAATGTGACATGGCAAGGTCACTAGCTCTGCGCAATTTCATTAGATGATGATGCTGATGTGTAAATTGATGATAACACTTTGGGATACCAAGTAAGTGGTTATGATATCATACCAATATAAACATAACAGTATTTTTAAAAAATTTAACGCTAATATGTTTACTGATGAAGCGATGTCCAACTGAAATGTACACTATGGGGACAATATGCTAAAGCAATTGTTGAGTACACTGATAAACATATGGCTGTTATTGTTGTGTGTGTAATGCGATTTATCTGTATAAAAGAGTACAAGGGTTAGATCACTATATCCCCTATTCATATATATATATATATATACAGTTTTTAGAGATTTAGGGTTTGGATTAGTTTGTTAATTATTCCTTTTTAATGTTTTCCGAGTATATGGGACATTTCACTATCAAATGCTTTCAACTCCACCAAGATTATGTTTGAACCTAACTTCAAGATCGTGAAAGACTTCAGAGAAAAGTATGTTATGTGACAATTTAATATCATTTTAAAATTCTAGAATTTATATAATTATAGGATTACGTTTTTGTAGGTTGCCAAAAAACAATCAAATGATTGTGCATGCTGAACAGAGTTATTCGACTTCTTGGGGTGGTGCTATTGACTACCGTGAAGAATTCTTAGGTGTGAAAAATAGGAGGCGGACGATAGCTGGAATCCGTGATACAAAAGTGGTATGAGCTATATATTTTGAAAATGATATAAATATATTTACATTTAACTATATACATATTAATGGTTTTGTTATAGTCTGGCAAGATTGTAACATGCGTTACGGTCAAAGACATTGATACTTCAAAGCTGTGGTATTATTGGGCATGCAAACCTTGCAACATCAAAGTTTTAGAGCATGAAATTATGTCTGATGATGAAGATTACGATAAGAGGATTCCTCTTTTGAGTTCCAAGAATTGTGGTGATATTTATTCCTATGATACCATCGTCGCAAGGTAATACAATGATTTGTCCCATAAAGTAAAGAAAACATTACTTATTTCATTAAGTATTTCTTAGGTAATATATTTAGCACATATAGCAGAATTAGAAATATTGACTTTCTCTGATTGACTGGATTAATGTTCGCCTTATTTTATTACATTGATTTGTCTCATCATACATTTATTCTGGCACTACATTACATGTTTATGATTGTAACGTTTAAATAACTCATTCTTTTATTATATTTCAAACAATTTAGATACTACATTGTATTATTTGTAACTGATGATTCAGACGTCGATGTCCGCTTCTTGATGTTTGATGACACTGCTCAAAGGTTGTTAGGTCATTCAGCTGAGTCTATAATGGAACAAAATGATGAGGTTAGTTGTGTAATAATTTTGTACATTATGCAATATTTACATTTTCTTAAATAATATTAATCCATTATATATAATGATGTGCAGGATTTACCAAGAGGGCTCCCTGATGGCTTGACAAAGCTCCTAACAATGAGGATGCTTTTCAAAATAACAGTTTCAGAAGAACATACAAAAGGAAGCCAGTCTCCGTATGTAGTAGAACTATGGTCTCAAGATGTCGACATTATGACTGAGTGGGATTCTCGATCAGAGGTAATATATGATAAATTTTTACAAACTTTTAAAGCTCGCTTTTTTCATCGTTTAGTCAAATTAAGACATCAACAATGTACCTATGTCTCCAGCAACCGTTGATGCTTACGAGTTCAGACAAACTTGAGAATCCATCGTCTGGATCTTCACTCACTCATTCTTCTAAGAAGGTAATTAAGAGTCCCGACTATTTGGATGAAGGTGAAAGATCTGTTAACAAAAAGCGACCGAAGCAAGAGATCCCAATGAAGTTATGAAGAAGCAAGACATCGTAATGAACTTATTGCAGAAATGCATTGCTGGTGATTGATTATTGCTTTTGATATTTGTAACCAATTTGTCCCATGGGTGGATAACGTTTGAACTCTATTCCTTATTTTGATTGGGGTATTTGTGGAACCTTTTGGCGTATTTGATTTAATCGTGGAACTTTAATGTTGCCCTAGATTGTTTTCCCTAATTATTTTTTTTGCACCTTTAATTTGTGATTTTTTATTTCCAACCAACTGTCATAAATTTACACGAGAGTTCCAATTAAGACGACATTAAAACAGTAACCGTTTTACTCCATCACATAGAAAACTATTCATTTCCTTATACTCTTTCATATTCCATCTTCACATAATTATTAAAACAAAGAATGTCTCCTTGTGAAAGACTTTCCGATCTTCAGATTTCAAACGGTGGATATCGTATTTGTGTTCAGACACTAAGAGATTATTATGATTATACTCTCTTCGATCGACCTAATCGGATGTTAGTTCTTGCGGATAAATTTGTAAGTTTTTCAAGTTTGAAAAGATTTGCCATTTATATATTTTAGGAAGTTTTCCTAAATTATTTATTTTTATAAACCGTGTAGGGTAATCGCATCCTGTCTACTATTCAATATGATATTATGGACAAATTCGAGTATGAATTTGTTGAAGGAGATTGGGTTTTTCTTGGTAATTTTGAAGTTACTGACAGAGTAATTCGTCCAAGTATATCATCAAACAACTATCATATACATTTCCTCGAGGATACCATTGTTGAGAAAACCGATCCGAAGTCTTCAAGAGGAATATATTCTTTTCGTAATTTCATGAATATTTTATATAGATTTATTCATACAGATAGATATCTTGGTATGTTTCTTACAACTTTTTTTTTAAAAATCGTTTATCTAAGGAACTCCAACATGTATTTAAAGGCACACCTTTATTGTTGCAGTTGATCTTCTCGGCGTTGTCACATTGTTCAGAAACTTCAGTTAGGAGTTCCTATGTCCGATACATCGGACACACCCACAGAACGTCCACTTATTCGTTTTAAAATTCAAGATTTCAGGTCTGTACAACTTATTCTGAGAACATCTGTTATTTGTATATTTTTTATTTTGAAGCCAATTTTAAAGTATAATAATAATGTTCTAAATGATTTAAATATACAATGGAGAAACTTTGAAATGTATTGCTTGGGATAACTTGGCAAGGAAATTTGAAGATCTTTGGATGAATCGTGAAAGGTCTTCTAGGCATATTATTGTATTGCGATTTTTCTCTTTCACTAGATGGAGAGGTAACTATCTACCTCATTATTTGATATTTTAAATTAATTACAAGTTTTACATATATATTTTTCCAAATAGTGAGTATGTCTATGTATTTAGATGGATGGATAGTTGAATCGGAAAGATTCATATCTGATATTGTCGAGGATCCTCCTACCCCAGAAGTGGAAAGTGCAAGGTTGAGGTATGTTTATTACATCTTTGATATTGTATCCTATATTATAATCTTTCTAAATATATGATAGTTATATTTCTTATATTGACATAACGCTTATAATGATTAAAAATCATATTATTTCAGGCTTGTATCTTCAAATGATTTTCCTCCGGTCAACGATGAATATGAAGACCAGTCTCAGTAAAATAAGTTCTTTTTCCTTTTTTCTTATTTTTATAGTGTTAAACTATACTTTAAAATTATTCTGATTGAGATAACTTATCCAATGAAAATATTTTATATTTTTTAAATAACAATTATATTTTTTTGGGTATATTGTCGAGAATCGTACTCTATTTCTTTGATTACAAAAAATAACAATAATATTCAAAATTTGAATTGTCCGTGATTTGTGTCTGTATTAAAAAATATAGTACATAAATTCCGGTTTTGTACTCTCATTAATGATTGGGAGAATAACTATAAAGTACTAAAAATATCATTTTATTACTATAATAGACTTAAAGTTTGAAAAATGACTAGAATATTTTTGAAGCTCATAAACACCCATTAGACCCGCATCGCGCATGATACAAAAAACTGAATAACGATAGTGCCATTATTTTTTTATTAGATCGAGGAACTTAATTACGAGAATGCCACCGCTAAGTTAATGAATGTAGACATATTAAATTCACAGACTTATTGAGCCGAATTGGCTTAGACGCAGACTTTCAGTGTAGACATATCATCTTGACTATGCAGATTTATCAGATCGGACCGCCAACGTTAGGTGGACTTGTTCATAGTGCAGACTTATTGAGCCCAATTCACTTGCACGCAGACTTTCAGCATAGACATATTCCTTATTTTGGTCGACTTACCCGTATTGATGGACTGCACTTTACGCAGACTTGTTCAGAAGGCAGACTTGTTGAACCGAAATTACTTGAACTCAGACTTTATGGGTAGACATATGTTAGTGATGGTGCAGATTTATCAGATCGGACCGCCAACGTTAGGTGGACTTGTTCATAGTACAGACTTATTGAGCCCAATTGACTTGCACGCAGACTTTCAGTGTAGACATATCCGTATTTATGGTTAGTAGTTGGCAGTTGGACATAGGCGTCGTAATTAATGAGTCACCATTTATTACTAAGACGTAAAACAGAGTTGGTGTTGAGACGAACAGAGTATAGCTCCGGTATCCCGTCAAAGGTTTGAGCTCAATTTTTTTTCTTCGTACTACAATGCAGAAAATTATCATTGTATGTGGTGAATGGAAATACCAAAAGAACCGCTGATTGTTTTTTGTAGACAGTACAAGGGTAGTCGCCTTATTGTTGCAGATAATGGTACAAGTTTTAAAGAGTTTGTTTCCATGGTTTATGAAGATTTTGGGTTTGAAAAAAGATTGCAGGAGATCCAGCTCAGTTACATGCTGCCGAAGAAGGTTTTGTTACACTTACCTCAAGACACGCCGTGCGTGGTTATTGGGAACAATCGCCAGTTTCAATGGTATCTAGATCAGTTTTTGGAAGCATCTATTCGATTATGTGTGACAATAAAAGACAAAAAGAGGCGGAGCTGAAAGATGGCAAGAAAAGGGCGAAAGTTGATGAAGATACAGGAACTGGCGATGTAGACGAAGATGACGAAGAAGGAGATATATTTGATTGCTGCGATGACTCTGATGGGGCTTCAGAGGGCGATGATGATTATTCTGTATATGGAAAGTACAAAATTGTTGAAGAAGATGAAAAACAAAGTCATCCGACCCTAAACAAATCTTCACCGAAGAATGCAAATATACCAAACGAGTATCAGGTACTCGAAATGTCGGCGTTGAATGTAGCTGTTGGACAAAGATATGAAAACAAGGAGGCGTTGGAGACAAGGCTGAAGATGCTTTCAGTTATCAATCATTTTGATTTTGATGTCAACAAATCAACCCAGTCGTATGTTGTCAAATGTTGGGTGAAGAATTGCTCTTGGAGACTGAGAGCATCACCGATTGGTGATAGCTTACACTTTTACGTTCGGATATATGATGGAGAGCATACTTGTTCTGTAACTGAGCGTTCGAGACGTACTCGACAAGCCACTCATCAGATTCTAGGTGTACTATACAAAGATTTTGTAGGTGGTGTTGGTCCAACGGTATTACCAAATCATGTTGCTGAAGCATTGCAGAAACGGTTTCGACTTAAGGTATCTTATATTGTGGACTTATATATTTCCTCTACCAGTTGTTTAGTCCGTGGGGACTTATCTATACCATGCAAAATATTGTAGGTTGAATATTGGAAGGCTCATCGTGCTTTGAGACATGCCCGGGATTTAGTAATGGGAACACCAGAAAGTGGTTACGAGGACCTGCCCACATATCTCTACCAAATACGTCGAGCTAATTCCGGTAGTTATACACGGCTCCAAGTGGACGAGAATAACAGGTTTAAGTACATGTTTATAGCATTTGGTGCAAGTATTGCTGGGTTCAGTACATGAGGAAAGTCATTGTAGTTGATGGCACACATTTACAAGGCAAATACAAAGGTACTATGTTGCTAGCAACTGCACAAGATGGAAACTTTGGTATATTTCCAATTGCTTTCGGTGTGGTGGATTCTGAAAATGATGAATCTTGGGAGTGGTGTTTTAAACAATTAAGCCATGTCATACCGGATGATAGAGGACTTGCCATCATCTCAGACAGGCACAGAGCCATTGGAAACGCCATAGGGAAGGTGTATCCTCTAGCAAGTCGTGGCATTTGCACTTACCATTTGTATAAGAATATACTAGAAAGGTTTAGAGGGGGTGAATCGTTCCGTCTTGTTAAAAGAGCGGCCAATGCTTATCGAGAATACGAATTTAATGCAATTTTTGAAGAGATTCGGCAGGTCAATCCAGCTCTCCACGGTTATTTGCAAAAGGCTGATGTAAGATATTGGACGCGGGTTTATTTCAACGGCGATAGGTACAACTTCAGAACAACAAATATAGCAGAGTCAATCAACAAAGTTCTTTCAGAGGCTACAAGATGGTTTGCAGAGCGGCGTACTGATGCAACACTAATGAAAACCGTCTTAACCTGCGGCATTGATAAGTTGCTTGAGGTAAAGTACTTTTGATTTACAGATGTTATTTTTATTGCTCAATATGTCATTGTTATCAATCACTGCTTCTTTAGGTCGTATGGAAAGGTGTAAAGATCTATCAGTGCAGCAGATTGATTCCCATCAATTTGAAATTGGTCATGGAGCATCTGTTAATGTTGTGAATTTGACCATGAAGACATGTACATGTCGCATGTTTGACTTGGACAAAATACCTTGCGTACACGCCCTTGCGGCTGCGGATGCAAAAAAGGTTTCGCCAATTCGGTTATGTCATCAATACTATCACACGACCTACCTTACTAATGCGTATGCGGCATCCATTTGTCCAAAGGATAGACAATCACCCGTACCCGCAGAGGTTGAATCAAAGATATGCGTACTGCCAATGGTACGCCAACCTCCAGGAAGACCGAAGAAGTGCATGTTTAAGTCTGCTACAGAAATTGCTTTGACGAAGAAAGTTCCAAGGAAACTTCCAACATGTTCAAAATGTGGTCAAACAGGCCATAACGTTAGGACGTGCACTTTCTAGGGCGAACATTGATGCACTTGTAATTTCCCAAAATGTAAACGCTAGTTGTTCTTTCAGTACTTAGACTTGTAGTGTAGACATATCACCTGTTCGGTGCAGAGTTTTCAGGTCGAACCACATACGTTAGGTGGACTTGTTCAATATGCAGACTTTTAGATCCGAAATGATATGACCGCAGACTTTCAGTGTAGACATATACATACATATCAAGGTGGTACACTTGTTCAGATCGCAGACTTATTGGATCAAATTGACTTGCACGCAAACTTTCAGTGTAGACATATCCCTAGGTGGGGTCGACTTATCCATAGTGATGGACCGCATTATACGTAGACTTGTTCGGATCGCAGACTTATTGGATCAAATTGACTTGCCCGCAGACTTTCAGTGTAGACATATCCCTAGGTGGGGTCGACTTATCCATAGTGATGGACCGCATTATACGTAGACCTGTTCGAATGGCAGACTTGTTGAACCGAAATGACTTGAACTCGGACTGTATGCGTAGACATATTTTTGCCATAATTATAAATCTACGATTACTTACGACAATAAATTACAAGTATACTACAAAACGTCACCAACCCAAAATAACGTACAAGGGATCCTAGTACAGAAACTAATGCCGAGAACCCGAAGAGAAGGGAAAATTGGTCCTATTAAAGAAACTACCGGGCTTAAGCCTACAAGATCATTGCATAACTACCGACAAAGGTTCTTCAACATTGCAGCAACGACATATAACATAGTAAGACATTGCAGCAAACAATATGTGAAGGTCGGTTTACTTAAACAGAAAAGTCATTGCAGCAAAGACAACGAATAACGGTAGAAGCACGATATCTGAACACCTGTTTGTGTATGCCTCCTTTAACCAAGCTATGTCTCGCTGAATCTCTTCCACCTGTAGCTTCATTTCCAATATGTCATCCCCATTGCCCTCAATTACCATTCGCATATGAGCCAAACGACTCTCCATTTGTGAATCACTGGGGAGGTCAATTCTGTTAAAGCTCTGCATCATCTCCTTTTGGTTTGCTAGGCTGGTTTGTAGAATCTCTAGTTGCTCTGTAACCCCTTCATCCCACCACTTCCACATGTGTTCATCATTCTCCTAGGAAAAAATTAAATTTTTTCTCACAAATACCGACAGCAATATCTGATAAATAGTGTAAGTGAATAAAATTTCCAAACAAACCTCCCCCAATATCTCCGGGCAACTGTAAAACTTTCTGCCGAACGTAGCCGTTGCTGTAGATTCCTCGAGGACGGTACGACGACCACAAAAACAACGTTCAGGTATTCCATAATTAGCATCCGCTCGAGCATAAGGACAAGCCCAAATCCCTTTGGACGAAGACGAACCACTGCTGTAGCTGATCGGCATTGTGAAGGCGAAATCAAGAATTAGGGTTGCTTGAGTTGAGGTTTTCTTTACTGAGGGAAATCTGGTTCGAAAACTGAGTAACCCTAAATCGAGAAGTCTCCCCAAATATATATCACGGGTGAGAGAGACGAGTAAAGATCACGTGTTTTCCCAACGCTACCCCCAGTTGCATTTTGACACGTGGATATCGTAATAAGTCTATAAAGCAGTATTAAGTAGACTTTCCCGAATTGTTTATAAGTCTGCTATGTCTGCATGTCTAATATGTTTTATAAGTCTACATGTCTATTATGTTTTATGTCTACATGTCTAATATGTTTATAAGTCTACATGTCTGATATGTTTTATGTCTGCTAATATGCTAATAAGTCTGTTGTTGGAGAACATATGTCTACAAATGAGCATATGTCTCAGAAACTACCGCATAATTAGAGTCATTACACTCACTTATCCTTACAAAAGATATGTCATCCTACTCGTACATGGACCATTGGTCGTGGCAATTAGGCATTTACAAAAACATTTACGAGTTCAAGTACATAATAACCGAGCAAGGGATAGGATAACGGTAACCCCATATCCTGCAACAAAAGGCAGCCAACACAATCTTCCCTATGGCTGAGAGTCATTGTGTAGAAACAGACGGTCAGTCGCATTACCTCGAGGTAGTGGATTAGACATTTGGTTGTATGTGTCAGGGACCTCATCGAAAATCTCGACTGCAAGCTTCATCCTCATAAAAGGCATGCTCTTATCGTTAATCCCTTCGAAAGAGTAACCTAAAGCAAGACACTCTAAGAACTTACATGTATACACACTGCAATCACCACTCTGTATATTCTGTGGCACATTGGATCTCCTCCTGTAAATTGTATACTGCTTTAGAACGATGTCCTTTTTGGATGCAGGAGGTGCTATAGATCTAAGCATATACGGAAGCATCCTGGCATACGGTTTGACCTCCTCAATTATCTCCTTGTCACTATAAGCACTTATGATGCAATCATAGACGTCAATATGTTGCCTGACCAGGTTAACATGAAGAGCTATCCAATGCCGGCCGTTGATGTTGTGCGCAAAATACAGATGATCAACGTCAGCCACCCATTTCTTGTTTGTAATTGCATAATACGGGTACGCGCCGTTCATCACCTCTATGTAAGACTCTCGGAACATGAAGTTCTTTGGATTGATTGCAAATTGTTTGTAGTCATGATACCATGAACAAACCCAGCATTGGTCGGGGAAAGCAATCCTGGTGCTATAGAAAGGAGTTGGGTCTCGGAGAGATCTTTTCCTCAGCAAATGTGCGAAAGAGGACATATGCTGAAAATTACATCGTCCAACAGTCAATGACAAAGGAAATCATGATCGATGAGTCTACCTTATACGCCTAAACCTGAAGCCTAAGAAAACCATTAAGTCTGCAAGGGTTTAAAACTTACGCATTCTCCAAGCCATCCGTATTTCAAGTCGGTCTTTGGCCACCTCTCTTTTGGAGTCATCAAAGTTTTGTAGAAGTTGCACGATCCTACAAAAGACCCTATTGGATTCTCCCTGTAAAAACACCAGAAATAGGTGTTAGTTCCATTTAATATACGGAACTCAGGCCTAGTTGTAAGCGAATCAACAGACTTACTCTTCTTCATTAATCCTCTCGATCAACTGTGCCATTTTAAATGGCTCTATTTCATGGAACGGATCATAAGCTATGAGAGATCGAATTACACCATCCTTTAAGCGACTGACTGCAGACTTTCCAAGGAAAGAGGATAACTGCGAAGGGGCCTTTTGTTTTTTTCGCTTCGGTGCAGGTGTCTTTACACCCAGGGCACCTGCAAGTGCATTCAAAGCCATGTCCACTTTGTTACACTTAGCACGTTCTTCCAGGTTAGAAAACGTTGAACCTGAATCAGTTGGTTTCGTCATGGTTGCATCGGCTTTGGCCACTTCGTCGGTTATGTCGATCAAGTCATCCGTCGGTTTATATGGAGGAAAAACTGCTTCTTTCACAAACGCAGGTGTACTTCTCGCAACACACTGCATCGTCATACCATCTGATGTCTGCTTCTGCATAACCATCCACGACTGATTCAAGGACAAGAAAAATCAAAGAATAAGTCGTCAGTAATTAGTACATAAGTCAGTCACAATTACAATGATACTAGGTCTACACCAATATTGTGAAATTAAGTCTACATCTGAAAATAGTGCGTATAAAATATGTCTACGTCTCAAAATAGTGATAATAAGTCTACCTTATTGTATTATTGAACAGTATTTTAAAAGTCTACAATAACGTTGAAAACTCAACTATATTAAGTCTGCGTGTTGTTACATATTCCCATACTAAATCGGCATGGCAAATTGAAATTCTTGTAATGCAAAATAGAGTGAATAGCGATTTCAATTACTGCACGAAAGAAAATCAGGTTGACAACATTGCAAACCAAATTCAACTTAACCACATTGAAAAACAAAACCAAGTCAACCACATTTTAAAACAAAACCAAGTTCACCACATTGCCAAACAAAACAGAAAATACACTACAAAGGATTTGTACACATGAAAAACGACAAAGTCAAAAAGTCTGGTGTCAAGCATAAGCCTGGAGTCAACCATATTACTCTCCATTTATTTTCTGCAAGAAAAAACACATATCAATCCGTGAATGGTAAGGAAACCAGTTATTTTGGCCGTATCCTTATCTATTCACCCAAAAAATATAAAAAATATACCCACATACATAACTTACTGAAATACTTACCGGATCCCTGCTATTTCCGTCATCTTTGAGACTGCCGCTAGAGTGCACTGGTTCTTCATTGGCCGCATTTTTCTCCAACTCTTTTACCGCCTTCAGTTCATTTTCAAGTTGACGCAATTTCCCTTCCACCATACCCTCCATTGAAGCCATTTTCGAAGCCACATTACCCTATATTGAAGCCATTTTCGCAGATACATTATCCTCCATTGAAGACATTTTGTGCTCTACTTTTCCCTTCAAAACGTCAATAGATGTGCTCAATTGAGAGGCCACAGTGTCTACCTTGTTTGTAAGTACTCCGAGAAGTTTCATTATCACCTCAGCCATACCATCATTTTCAATAGATGACTTTGTCGGCTTTTCCGCCGAACTTACTCTTGGAACCTACATATTAAAAAACTATTTGTTACTAACCATTCCAATATGAAAAACCTAAAAAAACACTTACAAACAACTGACATTTCTGACTGTTTCTGTTTCCTTGACACTTGTTTCTCCTTTCCGTTTATTGTTCCTCAGAACTTTCTTTGACGTACGAGATATGCATGCTTCAACAAAGTCATCGTCGCTTTCGTCGACTGGTTCTTTCTCTTTACTCTTATTTTCAGCATTTAGTGACCAAACATTCCTGGGGAGCCGATCATGGAGTATATCTTCCAAGAATTTATCCACTCCAACATCCTCAGTATCATCAGTCCACCGTGGTTTGGGGTCCTCACCATTATTAACTATAATATGTCTAACCCGTACCTAGCACATACAATGCTTAATAAGGAAACTTGGCCAAAAATGTTCATATTACACAAATGCACAATAGAACATAAGTACATACCTTCTCCTGGTTGTTCTTTTCTTCGAGAACAAGATCATCAAAGTTGAAACGCTTACGCGACCCAGCCCATGACAGAAGGGAAACTTCCATACCGTCAATCTTGTTCCCGAACCTTTCACCCACAATGGTAATCGCCTCATAAACCCATATTTGGAGAATGGGGACAAAACCACCAATGGTATAAGATTTGCTGTTCAAATCCGCCAATTTCACAAACTCAATCAAACTCTCACAAGCGACTCTGCCCCATGGGAATTGTTCAAATGCCTCAACATCGAGTACGGTTTTCGCAAACTTAAGAGGAATTTTTGTAGACTGATGCAGCCCAAGGACGCCAACAGCAATTACACATAAGCATCCAACCATTCTCCGCTTGTCATACGACCAGGTTCTACATCTCCGTAAGACCTCTTTCAGGTCATCCCAGCTAGGTCCATCGGTTAGAGAAATCTTCATGGCCCCCCATAGTTCCTTATGATCACTGTCCCATGTTCCAGTTTCCTCATACGGCTGTGAATTCATCCCCGATATTGCAGCAAATTCACACAATGAAAAACGAATTGGTTGATCATCAACCAAACACCATATCTCGTGATTCTTTTCTGTGGCCAACTGCCGTGTGATAACATTATCGACCAGATGAAATCGCTTTCAACAAGCTTACAAATACCACCCACAGGAGAATTTAAAAGATAGGTCCACACTTCGTCGCCTAAACTTTCCTTTATACTTCCAATGTTCCCCAAAACACAGTAATGATGCATGCTCTTCTTCTGAGGTGGGATCTTGCCATCGCCATAGTACCTGCCTGGATAAGATGCCATTCTGCACGCCATGGAAAAACATTTCAGCAATTTTGTCAAACGATCAACCTGATATAGTTAACAAGTTTGCCTCCAAGTACAACAAGTCTACGACCATTATCAAACAATTCTTGGGGGCACACTTATATATCTCCACATCCCAAAACCCGAACCCCATCAAGTCTACAACAACGTCAAACAAATCTAACCCGAAGTAAACAATTCCTACACAAAGTAAACAAATCTACCATTTCATCAGGGTTCAGTAAAAACCAAAACTCAATCCACATGAAAAATCTTCTCACCGTAAAGAACTTACAAGCACACAACTTCAAACAATGCGAGCCCAGAAATACAAACCCACTTAAACATTATTCAAATCTACATCCACAAGATTACCTAAACTCATAGATCTACAGCCACACGGCGACAAAATTATGTAAATCTACAGAAACAACGCGGCAAATTCAAATATATGAGATAATTTTCCAGAATTTCACTCCTTTACCATCTCTCACACACAACATCTCCTTTGTTTTAAAACAAATCTCGTTCACGAAAAAAGAGAAATTAGGGTTTTTAATTCAATCTCTACAAACCGTATCTAAAACCAGAGCAAGAGTAAACGACAAACTGACAAGAAGACTAAAGGAATGGAAGAGTCATGACAAACCTTTTGTTTACCAAGAGAAGAAGAAAACAGGAAACCGGTGGAACGGCGGAAACAGTGAAGAAACGAACGCGATAAAGTTTGCGGAAACAGGAAACCACCGACGCACAAATCGCCCCTAACGCCAACGCCGATTTCGGTTCGACAAGAGAAAACCCAGAAACCCTAGAAAGTGGACGACGAGAGAGGGCGCCGAAAAGAAGGTGGAAAGACAAAGTAAAATTATGAAAAAAACAGTAATTGTAAAAAAAGACCCATTGTAAAACTTAGGTCTCAAACTTTTTTTTTTTTTTAGTCTAGGTAATTATTAAAATGGCATACATTGTAATTATATTTATCAAATAAGGGATAAAAGTAATATCCTATGTCTTTTACTTCTCCACGGTAAAATGAAGTTAGTCTAGTAATAAAATGATAGTTTTGGTGTATTCTAAGTAATTTCCCAAAATGATTTGTAATTAATGAAATGAAGTAATTGATTTAATTAAAAAGAAGTAGTCAGTACAAGATATGACATTTTCCTACTATATTTACATATTTCACTATATATATTTAATCAATATAAAAATCAAATATACCAATGAATTGAATGTTACCATTTTGGTTTGTTCGTAAGTCACTTAATGCAATAAATGTCAAAAGTTGCTATTTATTCGGATTTTACAAAACGACACAACCTTTCAAACCCTATACTTTCTATTGTTTTCCTATACATATAAAAGGACCAAGTAGAAAAACTTCTCATCTTAACAAAAAACAAACAAGTCCCAGAAAACAACCACTTTCCTCAAACATGCCTCGCTATTGTACCCTTGAGTATCTTTCTCCCACAAAATCTGACTCCAGAATCCTTATAAAAGTCATACGAGTTTGTGAACAATTCAACTACCGTAATCATCGCCAGGAATTGCATCTTATCCTCGGTGACGAAAATGTAAGTTCATATTTTAAATTTTTTTTATTCTGTTGCATGCTATGAACATTTAAACCCATGAATATCTAAAATGATTATTTGGTTCACGAATTTAGGATTACAAAATAGAGGCATCGATAGATCAGGATCTTATTTCTTCCCTCGGTCCAAAGTTTAAAGAAGGAGAATGGAATTATGTCAAATTCTTCAACGTTGTCAACGCGTTCGGATCTTTCAGAAATACTATAAACTACCACTTCATCAACATGAACGCCGATACTGTTGTAGACAAGACCTTTCAAATCAATCCTAAGCATATGATGGATTTTATGCCATTTGATGCCATTATTCGAGGGAATTTTCCTACTAAGTACTCTATCGGTTAGGCTTCTCACCTTTATTCAATTTAAGATATAGGGTTACAAATATTGGGTAATAAAAATGTTTCTTTGTAGATTTGATCGGCGTAATCATCTATGTTGATGATGATCTAAGTACTGACATTGATGACCCATACGAGATGATTTTTGGACCTTCTCACAAATTGGACATTCAAATAAGGGACATGAAGTAAGACATTTTATATTATCATCTATATATGTAAAGGCCAATCTTTCGTCTTATAATTCAGAGTATTTATATTTTAGTTAATGTTGTTGTAATATAATTTTTGGTTTAGTTATAATGATATGGATATCGAACTCATTGGGAAGACTGCTCTGGATTTCTGGAAGAAGTGGGAAGACATAGGTACTTATGAAACAGTCTTGACTTTGCGCATGTTTCGTCTGACCTATGATTCCGAAGGTTAGTAATAAAATTTTATAATCGAGTGGGAACATTCATTTCGACTTTGTTAATATGTTAATTTGGCTTCTAACATTTCTGCCGTTTATATTTCTAAATCATACAGGGAGATATCGTATAAGGAATGCTGGAGACCATTCTGAAATACTTTTCAATCCTCACATAAAAGAGGTTTCTGATTTTCTTGACTGGTAATTTTCTAATTGGTATTAATGTATATAATAAGTTTTATGGGTTATTTTATTCTTTTTTCAATTTTTAACTTGAAATTTATTTTCTGTCAGGCTTCCTTTTACCGATATCCATGGAGATCCGAGCTGGCCATAACATTTATCCTTCTACTTTTATTTTAATACCAACTGTTAAACGTTCAAACATTTTGTAATATTTACCCATAAAACTGGGATGTATTTGAACCTATTTTCGTATATTTGTAATGAAATTTTTAGTATTTATTTATGGTAATGTTTAGTTGCCATTTTACTTATGTCTTTAATATCATTGTATTTATTGTTTATATATTTTACATTTTTATATGTATAGTTTTGGATATAACATATACCATATATATATAGAATTCATTTGAATTTAGAAATGTTACTTCCTTTATAAACATTTTCTTCCATCCAATATTTCACATTTCCATAATAATAAGATATTACCAAATTTTACAACTACAATATTTTAACGGCCATTTTTCATATTATGCCAAATTTAGCACCATACTAATTTGTTACGGTAGACTTGGAAATTACATTTATTAGGAGCCTTTATGAGTTTAACCGAGAGATGTTTATGCCACGCGATGCAACTATAACGTTTCTTACGCAATTGACAACGTTGGCTCAGTATTGATTTTTTTTTTTTGGTCAAATGCTCACAATTGATCTATTAACAACTTTACGTGTAGGAGTAATTTTAAATTAATTACGATTGACGTTTGAATTTCAGTGCTGACAACTACTGTTAAGCTTTTCTCATTACCTTTTGACTTGAGTTTAAAATATTATATTTTGTTGCCTATGTTTTAATGTTTTTTTTTTTGTCAACTCCTATGTTTTAATGTTTATGGATTATAATCAATGTAGCAGTTGAGCTTATAATCTTACGGATCAATACACATATATGAGAAAGTGAATTGAGAGAATAATTATTTTTATTTTATTGAAGATAATTATGGTACAAAAAAAAACAGAGATAATATTAGCTAAACTTCAAAGTTTCTCCTTCCACGTTTATTCTTATGTGCCTACAATATTCAAAAACATATTATGTAGTTAACTTCAAACATATTAGTTAAACAAATAAATGTATTAATGGAATATTAATAGCTTACCCACAGAGATGTATCTAGGTAGCGGATTTCTGTCTTAACGAAGCCGCATTCTATACATTTCAAACTTATCTCCAGATCTAGATGGAGATCGTGTTTTCCGTTCTTGCAACGTTCCTTTGGATCATCAGTCGATTTTTCTTCATTAACCTGCAGATATTACATATTGATATGAACATCCAATAATACAGAAATCATCAATAAAACGGAATAATTTAAAGTTTAAATTACCTCAGAAGAAACATCGATGGCTTTCGCAGTTGATTTTCTCAGGAAGTCATTCATCTCTTCCCACATATTATTTTGCTCCATCTCTGATTCAGAAATTGGAGGAGGTGGTGGTGTTTCTTCCACACCAAATCTCATGTTCAATGGTGGTGGATTTATATTTAGTAATCCGTTTTCATCAAAACGTTTTTCTTGGTGATTCTCCATTTTTGTCTAATCTCTTATCAGCCGTTTAGGGTTGCATAGTAAATTTTATATGTACTTTTATAATAAAAATTACCCTCATATTTTATATAGGATAGGGTAGTTACAAAATATTCAATGTCACCACATTTCTATGTTTTTTTGGGAATACTGTTTCAACCGACCTGTTTGACTTTTTTCACTTTCGCTTTTGATAAATGGACATAATATATACACAAGTCTTCTTCGTATAATTTACATAACTTGTCTCATACAAAAATGTTTAAAAATTTGGATTTTCCTCTTTACAATTTGATTTAGACTGCAATATATAGTAACATAATATTGTGCTCCGAATTTCGAACTAATATTCTTATGAAGCAATTATTTATAAATTGAATTATCTAACCATATATTCTGGATTTTTTAAAATATAATATGAAGGATATTGATATATTATTGTTACTTTCTATAACGAGATGCATATTGCAATCTTTAACTTATTCGTATATTCGTGTATGTCCTATTTATTAACCCATCTATATATTCACATTATACTTTTGTGAATTGCAACTTCATTTGTTACACTGAAAAAAAATTCTCAATATTCTCCATTTCTACTGCTATGAACAGGATAGGTAATCCTTCTGCGTCCAACTTTATTCTATTAAGAATCCTTGGTATAGAATTATAGAGACTCAACCTTTATAACTTCTTATCATACATTATTTGTTTTTTTTTAACTGTTTTAACAAGTTCTTATCATTGTTTTCAGGAATTATTCAATTTCATCTACCAAGAACAAATTCTCCGAAGGGAAACAAGGTCGACAAACTAATGAAAAATACAAAATTTATTGCTTGGATGGAGTGTAACAAGATATACCCAACTGCCAGATTCCTGCTCTACACTGAATTATCTCATCAATTTGTCTGGAATGCCACATTGCATGAGTGGAGGCCACGGTTGAAGGGTTCAGGAAATCCAACTATTCTGCAACAGTATTCAATTTATGATGGCGAAATTTTTATTTGGGTTGTCTGTTGAATATCATTAGAGGTCCTCGCAGTTATGAAGATATCCGAAAAGTTAATGGTGTTGTATACGACACCTTCAGAGAAGCTTGCTATGCAATGGGCTTATTTCCGGTCAATTAGATTTATATGTCTTTCTTAATATTAGTTTTAAAATTGCATGCTGACTCTTTATTTCAATAAGTTACTTTTATTTTGTTGTTTTTCATCGTCTTAAATTTTTAAATTACCTTTTATTTTGAATATCAGAAATAGTAAGGTAAATCATCTACTAAATACTACATTTTCCATCGTTACATATTACATAATTAGTACAACAGTCAACCAATTAATATTTTATTAAATATACCGTAACTTATAATTTATAATTTAGTTACTAAACTGTTATAATTGTAAGTTTAATGTATTGTTGATGCGGATTAATCGTAACTTAGTTGTTAATAAGATAAAATATATCTCAAATTTTAGAAATCTCTAATAAAATTCATCAACTTTTTAAATTTCAAATTTAAATGAAATACATAATATAGAAAAATGTGATTTGTTGTTATTTTAGATAATTGCTGCGATGAGATATAAAAAATCTAACATTCCTGATAATTTGGAAAATTGTAATATTTCCAAATTTAAAAATACCAATTAAAAGGTTTTTATGTGTTACACAATATTGGATCTCATTCGATGTAAATAACAATTTCCTACATATTAAATGACGGTTTTTTCTAAAAATTCCAGTGAATAATAAAAAATCAATAATATCAAAAACTTATGGAAAACGGTATACATTTCTCATTACCTACTGATCAAAATTACTTGTATTTCTACTCTATTCAGATTTTGGTATAAAGTACTAACAGTATACTTCCTGTCGAAAGTGAGCATTCACAAGTAATATAATTATAATAACTCTGTGGCGACACAGTGAATATAATAACTTTTTCTGATGTGATTCTTGACAGATGCACAAGAAATATTATGTAGGAAAAAATGTATTTTTCCTTCATGTAAACATATTTTTTGTACGTATGTCTGAGGATCACATCAGAAGAATAATTGTAGTATGGGTTGTGTTTGAGTAAGTAATTGTTTGCTTGGTTAGTTGATCAAAATTTTCTTATGGTGTGTATATATAGAATTCTTTCAGAGTGACTCCTCATTTTTTTTCACTCTGTTTCATATTCCCCAAAAATCGTTTATAATTATAAGATATTAAATAACATTTGACTAATACAGCACCATTTCCAAATGAATTTACATTTCGAAATAAATGAATACATCTTCGCATATAATTTATAAAATATGTTCATATATGTCACATTTCGATAAATAACTTACGATTTACGAACAAAAAATTAATGTATGTATTCATAATTACATGTATTCTTCATCTACACTTTCTTCATTATACATACCTAATTATAATTACTTAATCAGTTATACATCACTTATTGTTTATATTTACATCAAAAAATGTATAGCCAATTGTAATTGTAAGACACAATCCAATTCTTAAACTAATAACATACAATTCGGCCCAAATCTGGTAACACTGTACCCACACACACTGTCACTTATCAATTTTATAAAATTCAACCCAATAAACTTAACAATATACGCAATACAAATAAAATTTATAAAAACATTCAAGTCCGCACGCATTATGTTATTTATAACGTGCTAACATATTAAAATTATATATAATTTTAGTAGATAACTATTTGATTAACTGTTAATTAAATTATTTCTCTAGAATGTTGGCATGCTAACAATAATATATGATATTTGTAATATGTAATAAAAATATCTGATATTTATAACGTGATAATAATATTAACGAATTCAAAGATAAAATCATCTTCTCTTCTTTGCCCCTGCTTGTCACCTCTCTGACAATGTTGTGTAACTAGTTGGTCACTCAAAGATTTCTATTCTATTTCTTTAGATTTGTTGTTAGGTGATTTAGAATTTTAATGAGGTTACTTAGGGATCTTCATTGGTATGACTGATGGGTAACAAATTAAATAAATTATTAAAAAAGAATTTGTATGATTTTGGAAATTGTAAAGAATGATTTGTCCGCTGGAAAAAAATGTTACAAAAGAAGGATAATATAAAAATCAGAATACGGGGTTTGTAGAAATTAACAAAAATTGTAAGGGGTAAAGCGTAATTATATTTGTCCAATCACTGTTGAAAAAGGTGTCAAGACACTCACTTAATTGTTGATTTATTCGTTACCCTGCATTGCTATTACTCATTATTTTAAAGCTACATAAAAACAATAATATAAAATATCCGCGAAGCTGGGCTAACCTAGTATCAAATACAAGTCCAAAACTCAACTGCCTCAACTGCTTTATTAAAAAAGGACGATGAAACACTTGCTCATTTTAATAAAGACTTAGATACTTTTTCAAGTCACTGAGTTTGACTTGGAATTGCTCACCTGAAGACAAACCTAACACTGAATAAACCATCTTCCCACTGTCTTTCCAACTAGAACCAGCCTTCTTGCATTTACCCGAGCCGCCCTCTTGAACACCCATGTCAGCGGTTTACTCTCCAATACCAAATCCGGAGACAGAGTAGAAGCTGTTCAACAATCAATATTCAAGATTCAAAATGCATAAGTCCTTTGTGTATAAGCAGCTTAACGTTTAAAAATAAGACTCATTAAGATTTCACTTTTATTGATAATGCTAAAAGAATCAGAAACAAGAATAGAAACCGTTACATGATCACACTATTTCCCTGTGTTATACATATATCTTTATCAAGAACATCTGCCGTTGTTGCCTAAACCAAAACAAAAAATGGACTTCTTGATTCACCAATATCCTCCACAAGAACACTTTCCTTCTTTGAAATGATGGAACCTGCTCGCGTCTCTCACTACCATCTCTCTTCCTGTAACCAAAGATATGAACTCAACCACCTTGTGACAATCTTTGCAAATCCTATGGTTCTGAGTTATCTGTAACTGATTCCATTCCGGCGTATTCACCAATCCATAAGCTATCGCAAGCTTCTCGCTGTGATATCTCACTACTCGCTTCTCTTCATTCTCATCAACGTCCGGTAAAACGTTCTTCTCCTCCGCCGAGTACCCATACTCGCATATTTCTTCCATTAGCTCATCAACTTTTTGGTATATTTGCCTGTTTCATCATTTCGATTCCCACATTTCAGGTAACGAGTGAAACTAAGACAAACAAAAGATAATACTAGAGTCACATAACTTACCTTTTAACGGTCTCACTGTAAGAATCACACTTGTCTCCTGAAAGGAAACTGTGACTCTGATCTCCAACCTCGACCCAGGTACAAGCCGGCATCATCCTCAAACCTTTGCTCTCCAATGCATCCAAAACACCTGCAGCTTCTGCAGTTTTCCCCATACTGTTGTACACATTATACATCACAACGTAGTTTCCAAGCTTCTCAGGTTCCATTTCATAGAGTTTCTCAGCAACCACTCTTCCAAGCTCCAAGTTCCCATGCATCCTACAAGCATTCAAGAGTGCTGCCCACATATTAACCGTCGGTTTTAAAGGAGCTCTTCTAATGAAAGCAATGGCTTCATCTAATAAACCGTCTCTACCCAAAATCTCAATCATGCAGGCATAGTGCATTGCCCTTGGTTTGATCCCGTGAACCTCACCCATCGATAGGAAAATATCCCATCCCCGTTCGGATAAACCAGAATACGCACAAGCTGATAGAACAGCAAGGAACGTGACGTGGTTTGGAGAAACTTTTTCTCTAAGCATTTTCTCATACAAGCTAATCGCATCCGTTCCTCTACCGTGATTTGCATATCCACCCATCAAAGCGTTCCACAAGATTATATTTTTCCTCGGCAATCTATCAAAAATATATCTTGCAGTATCAACTCTACCCCATTTGCTATAAAAATCCACAAGAGCCGTGTTAGCAACGATCTCAGATTCAAAACCGCTCCGAATCAACCGGGCGTGTGCTTGCTTAGTGAGATCAAGCTTCGCAAGCCTTGTAGAGATTCTTATCATTATCGAAAGCGTGAACTGATCAATAGACGCACCAGAGTCTCGCATCTCGTACAACAAACATAGAGCTTCCTCGCTGAAACCATGAAGCGCATAACCAGCAACGATGTTGTTCCAAGCAACTGTACTCTTCTCAATCATACCATCAAAAACACATCGAGCATCTTCAATGTCACCGCATTTGCTATACATATCGATCAAGCCGCAAGAAACAAACGTGTTCCCAACAACTCCTAGCTTCAACGCACAGACGTGAAGTTGTTTCCCAACGTAAACAGAGCCTAAACCAGCCGCTGCGCGGAGAGCCACCGCGAACGTGTGAGTCTCGCAATCGGAAAGCTCCTCCCACATCATCTTAAAAAGATTCAAAGCCTCAAAATAGTTACCGAAGTTGACAAACCCAGAGATAATCGAGTTATAAGAAAACAAGTTCCTCTCAGGCATTTCGTCGAACAATCTACGTGCGTCTATAATCATCCCGCATTTCACATGCATCAACAAGATCCTGTTCATCATGTACTGCTCAGGCTCAAACCCATTGCTCATCATATACCCAAAAACCCTTTTCACACAACGAATCGATTTTAAACGAATACAAGCTTCGACCAAAGCATCGTACGTACTAACCCCAACACGAACACTACCTCGAATCTCCAGAACCTCAAACAATTCGAACGCTTCCCTGAATTTATTACACAAGACGAACTTCTCAATCTGACTACATAACCCGACGGAAGATTTCCTGATCTGGGTATCATCCAAAACCGGATCTTTCGATTTGTAGTGGTCGCCGTCGGTTTCTCTGATTGGTTCCGGTTTCAGCTTCGGCTTTGGTTTCAGACCTTGAGCTAGAGAAGAACAAGTAATTCTCGCAAATGGGTTCTTCCATCTTCTTCGACGGAGCGAGAAATCGTATCCAGAAAACCGCGGGAAATCGGAAAACTTGGGATTGGAGTAATGATAAGACTCGAGGGTATTACTCTGGTTGTCGTCTAATCTTAAGCTCTGATAAAACGCGAGTGGAATCTCCATGGTTTGAGGGAATGTGATCAATTAAAGAGAAACCAGAAGATCCAGACCATTGTGATCAGATTACTAAAACTTTGAAGAATCACCGAAGAAAGCTCCTTAGAACGATGGAATTGTTGATTCGATTTGTTGCAGAAAGAATAAAAGGAAATTTTGAAAACAGAGTTGAAGAACAATCACAGCATTGGGAGCTCCGCTAGTGGCAGTTGGGGAAGGTTTAGACTTTGAAGAGAGAGAGAGAAGCTGGTAGTAATGAAACGACGTCGTTTCGACATCACCAGATCTAATCACGCGCCACTGTTTTGTGTTTTTGCGTGTTAAATTAGCAAAATATTTCGAGTTAATTTAGGAGGAAAACTTTTGATTACAAACATGTTTATGATATTAGTTGTAGCAAAGCAAATAATAATTAGGCTCGAGCATTCGGGTACCGTTTGGGTTTGGGTCTGTTCTTTTGTGTTCCAAATTGATACTATAGATCTAGGACTCATTCAAATATTTTTTTTTTGGTCGGATTCAGTTCGGCTGTCTAGGTTCGAATCGAAACTCAAAATTTATCCTAAATACCAAAAAAACTTTAAAAAATGGTTTAATTTTGATAAATATAAGTAAAAGTTTTCATATATTTTGGTGATTTTGATCTAAACATAACTAGAAAATTCAGTTTACAATAATAGTTTTGGGTAGTTTGATTATTTCAAATCTAAAATATAACCAATATTTTTTTAGTATATAATTATACTAGATAACTATCCGTATATATGCAGATTATAATTTAATATTTTATAACCCATAAAAATTAAAAATAAAAATAAAAAGTAAAAATTGGATCATCCGTGATTAAGCCTTTTTAATGATTATATACTAGGTGATTAGTCCGCCCTTTGTGCGGGTCTAGAGGTTTCAAAATGGAAACAAAACTTTTTGTAATAAACCAGAAAAATTAGAACATCAACGTAAAACATATATGATTGAAAGAAGCTAACCCAAAAAATTATGAGTTGGGTTGGGATTAATATCATATGATTGTCACTTAATTTCTTCTCTAAGATTGTATATAGTTTTTCTTCTCCAAAATCACTGTTGGATAATTCTAACTTGGGGATCAAGTTATCTCTTAAGAAGATGCTTAAAGGATAATGATGGATTTATTTAATAAGTTTTAGATATAGTTTTATGTCTAGACAAGGTTTTATAAATTCTATATCATATAGAATTAGGACAAGCTAAGTTCTATATAAAGAAGTCTTTTGGAGAGTTGTTCCATAAGGCTTAGACACAAGGTTTAGTTTTGAGAAGTTTTTAAATCTAATAAAGAATAGTAGTTCTTTATAATCTGTGTTTAAGTAAGTTAAAACTTTGAATTGGTATTAGAGCAAAGTCGAAGCCTAAGGGAATACCGAAACAAAGATCATAAGCTACACGACCATTAGGGACGAGCAAGGTCAACCACGATCAAAGGATATTGGATCCTCAGCAATTCAATGTCCAATGCTGACATCGACAAACTACACAGTTTGGTCGATGAAGATGAGGGTTATGTTAAGGGTTTATGAAGTTTGGGAAACAATCAAACCAGGGTCTGCCGATGCTAAGAAGAATGATTGCAACAGCCTTACTTTTCCAATCTATACCCAAAACACTCATACTTCAACTAGGAGAACAAACCACATCAAAGGAGTTTGGGATGATGTTAAGTCGCGACATCTAGGAGCAGATCGAGTGAGAGAAGCAAGACAACATACGTTGATGGCAGAGTTCGATAGATTGAAGATGAATGACATTGATTCCATCGATGATTTCTCAAGAAAAATCTCAGTCTTGGCATTAAAGTGAGCCTCACTAGGAAAAACCATCGAAGAATCAGTGCTGGTGAAGAAATTCTTGAAAGCACTTCCCCGAAACAAGTTCATTCATATAGTAGCCTCCTTGGAACAAGTTCTAGACTTGAATAAAACAAATTTTGAAGTTATAGTTGGGAGGATAAAAGCTTATGAGGAACGAATAGGAGAAGAAGCTCAAAGAGAGGATCAAAGGAAGCTCATGTGGAGCAACAACGAGCAAACTAACCGGGGAAGTTATGGAGGGTTCCGTGGTAAATCTTGAGGAGGCAGAGGCAGAGGTCGAGGGAGATCCAATGGCCAAAACCAAGGAGGAGCACCCAGAGAATCAAATCAGAAGCAGAAAAAGGATCAATCTAAGGTTATATGTTGGAGATGTGACAAGCCTGGTCACTTTGCGTCACTTTGTCCTGAAAGACAAAACAAAAGCCAAGAATCAAACATGAATGAAACAGAGGAAGCTGATGCTCTGTACGTACACGAAGTGGTGTTTTTGAACGAAGACAAAGTGTTTCCAAGGAACTATGATACCAAATCCGATGCAAGTATTTGGTATCTAGACAATGGTGCAAACAATTATATGACAGGGAACACAGACTTTTTCTGAAGTTTAGATGAAAAGATCAAAGGCAAAGTGAAATTTGGAGATGGATCATATGTCGATATGGTAGGAAAAGGTACTATCATCTTTTTGGGCAAAACCGGAGAAAGAAGGGCACTTAAAGAGATCTATTACATTCCAGCGTTGAAGCATAATATACTAAGTCTTGGACAAGCAACAGAGAATGGGTGTGAAGTAAACATGAAGAGAGACTTATTAACACTAAAAGATCCACAGGGAAAGTTGCTTGTACAAGTCAAAAGATCACCAAACATACTCTACAAAACACCGATGGAAATATGGTTTCCAAGATGTCTCCCAGTACGAGGCGATGACATCACCTGGACCTGGCATTCATGGCTACGTCATGTCAATTTCGATGTCATGAAAAACATGGTCAACAAGGATATGGTTAGAGGAATGCCCCAGGTACTACACAAAAAGAAGGTGTGCGATATATGCAAGCCGGGAAACAGACAAGAAAAGCATTCCCAACTAAGGCTACATATCGAGCAACACAAGTTTTGGAGCTAATACATGGGGATTTATGCGGAACTATATCACCTCCAACACCAGCCAACAACAGATATGTCTTTGTTCTGATCGATGACTTCTCAAGATACATGTGGTCCATACTTATAAAGGAGAAAAGTGAAGCATTCGATCGGTTCAAAAGGTTCAAGGAGGGTGTGGAAAAACAAACAGGTTTGGCCATCAAAACTTTACACCCCGATAGAGGAGGAGAATTTACCTTAACAGAGTTTAACCTATTCTGCGAAGAGAATGAAATTCAAAGACACCTCACTGCACCTACACACCACAACATAATGGTGTTGTAGAAAGGAGGAACCGGACCCTAATGGAGATGCTAAATAGCTTGCTTATGGCTATGAAGATTCCGAACACTTTGTGGGGCGAAGCAATACGCCATTCGGCATATCTCATAAATCGGATACCTACAAAAGCCTTGAATGATCAAACTCCTTATGAGAGCTTCACTTCCAAGAAACCCAACATCGAACATCTGAGGGTTTTTGGCTGTGTTGCTCATGCTAAAATTAATGGGCCACACCTCAAGAAGCTAGATGAAAGATCAAAGAGAGTAGTTAACTTAGGAACTGAGCCGGGCTCCAAAGCCTACAGACTCTATGATCCAGCAGCTAGAAGGATAACAGTAAGCAGAGATGTCGTTTTCGACGAGCAGAAGGCGTGGGACTGGTCATCGGAATTGATAGAAGCTGATGGAGAACCAGGAATGTTTAAGCTTCTACATGAGGTTTTTGCAGGCACAGGATATGAGGAAGATCATACCAATGATCACCAAGATCAAGAGCATATGGAACAAGTGCAGGAAGAAGAAACAGAGAACATTAATCAAGATACAAACCAAGGAGATGAACCGCAGCCTGTGACGACAAGGTCAGGATGAGTCGTACGAAATCTAGGGTATCTGGATGATTTTGCGATGTTTTCGGATCAAGAGGGTGAAAACTTACTCTTTACTGTCGATGGAGAACCAAAGAATTATCTTGAAGCACAACATCTAAAGAATGGATTGAGGCTATGAAGGCTGAGCTGGATTCTATCTCAAGAAACAAGACTTGTGAGCTTGTTAAAAGACCAAAAGGAGTTAAACCCATTGGACTAAAGTAGATCTACAAGATAAAGAGGACTGCAGATGGCTCGGTGAACAAGTATAAGGCAAGACTTGTCGCAAAAGGATATGGGCAGCAACAAAGAATTGATTTCAAAGAAGTATTTGCTCCAGTAGCAAGAATCGAAACCATAAGGCTGTTAATAGCCCTTGCAGCGACTAAAGGCTGGGAAATACATCACCTAGATGTCAAGACAGCTTTCCTTAATGGTGATCTACAAGAGTTACTCTATGTGTGCCAACCAGAAGGCTTTGTGAAAAAAGGAGAAGAAGATCGAGTATACAAACTTCATAAAGCACTGTATGGCCTACGACAAGCTCCTCGGCCATGGAACTTCAAGCTGGATCAAGTTCTAAAAGACATGAACTTCAAAAATGTTTAAAGGAGCCATCAGTCTATGTCAAAAGAAACAAGGAGGAGATATTAATTGTGGCAATCTATGTTGATGACTTGTTTGTGACAGGAACTTCTCTAAAGGTCATAAAACAATTCAAGGAAGATATGTTAAGGAGATTTTGAGATGTCAGACCTTGGGAAGTTGACATACTACCTCGGTATTGAAGTGATTCAAGGAGCAGATGGGATCAGAATAAAACAAGAAATTTATGCTCAAGGAATCCTTATTGATATAAAGATGGATATATGTAACTTATCTCATGTACCAATGGAGGCAAATTTAAAGATTTCAAAAGCAGAAGATGAAGCTGAGATCGACGCAACTCAGTATAGAAGAACTATTGGATGCTTAAGGTATCTCCTGCACACAAGGCCAGACTTAGCATTTGCAGTAGGAGTTCTAAGTCGGTATATGCAGAGTGCAAGGAAATCACATGGGCAGGCCATCAAATGCATAATGAGATATGTGAGAGGAACTACTAGCTTGGGTTTACACTTCAAGAGAGATGGTTCTAGCAAGATCACAGGATATAGTGACAGCAGTCACAACATCGATGTAGATGATGGAAGAAGAATTGCAGGTCATGTATTCTACTTTGGGACATCGCCGATCACTTGGACCTCTCAGAAGCAAGTCACCGTTGCATTAGCTTCATGTGAAACAGAGTTCATGGCAGCTACAGAGGCGGCTAAGCAGGCTATATGGCTTCAAGAACTGTTGAAGGAGATACTAAGTATCAACAATGAGAAGGTAGTGCTAAGAGTAGACAACAAATCAGCCATAGCTCTTACCAAGAACCCTGTGTTTCATGGAAGGAGTAAGCACATTCTCTCTAGATACCATTCATTATGGGGTGTGTGGAGAATGGTCAGATTGAAGTTGAACACAATCTAGGCGTGGAACAGAAGGCAGACATCCTCACCAAAGGTTTACCAAGGATCAAGTTTAAAGAAATGAGGAGACTACTTGGAGTTGAAGACATAGTGCTCCCTGAAGTTCAAGTTGGAATTAAGGGGGAGAATGTTGGATAATACTAAATTGTGGATCAAGTTATCTCTTAAGAAAATGCTTAAGGGATAATGATGGATTTATTTAATAAGTTTTAGATATACTTTTATGTCTAGATAATGTTTTATAAATCATATATCATATAAAATTAGGAGAAGCTAAGTTCTATATAAAAAAGTCTTTTGGAGAGTTGTTCCATAAGGCTTAGACACAAAGTTTAGTTTTGAGAAGTTCTAAATCTGATAAAGAAGAGTAGTTCTTTATAATATGTGTTTAAGCAAGTCAAAAATTTGAATCACATCTTCTTTCTCCATGATATTCTTCAACATTTTCATCTTGTCTTTAATTTTCTTATTCTAATTTTTCTTTTTATTTTCTTCAATCTTCTTCTTTGTTTTTTCCTTTTTCTTCTTCATTAACTTCATCCATCTCTTTTCCCTCTATAATTCGACATTTGGATTTTTTTCGTCCTTGTTATTTCATTTTTTTTTCAATAGTCTTATACTTCTTATTCTTCTTCCTCTTAGAGCATCTCCAAAAGACACCTTATAACTTCAAATATAAGGTTTTATGTACTCCAAGAGACACCTTAAAACCTCAAATTTTGAGGTGTTAAACAGTGACACCTTATATTTGAGGTTTTACTATTCAACACCTCAAATTTGAGGTGTCATTTTTTATTTGCATTTCAGTCATTTCAGTTATATATTTTAAGATTAATCAAAATAACTTTTGTGTTTATCATTTTAACTCTCCTAAAAGATATTAAATTACACAAAAGTTATCAAAATGATAAACACAAAAGTTATATGAACACCAAAGTTATATGAACATAACAACAACATTACATAAAATAAATTTCATACAAACTAAAATAACACAAGAACATAAACTTACATGAACATATAAATATTACACAAATAAAAATACTACAACAAAACTAATATTTAGGTAAATTAGATCTTGAACCTCCAAGATCACCAAAAAATTGTCCATAAAAATTTGGTGCAACTGAAGGTGGGGGTTGTTGTTGTTGTTCTTGAGTTCTTTTTTTGGATGATTCTTACTTGCTCAGATCGAAGAAACTCACGAGTAAAACTATTAGCAATAGAGTCTAAATCCGTTAATAATTTTTTTATTTTCTTCTCGCATTTCTTTTAAGGCAATTGAACCATCACATAATCTTTATCCCCTCTTGATGCACTTTCTTTCAAGAAATCAAGGATTTCTTCATTTGATGAAACTTAAATGTTGACAGATGAATTATTACCTTCAGCAATCTTCCTTTTTAGTTTTGCTTTCTTTGATCCAATAGGATGTTGAGAAGAATTTGTTCCAACATCATTGCAACTTAAATTGATTGAAAATGAAGACATTCCAGGAGATTGTGATGTTGGGAAGACATCAATATCGCTTTCAGTATTAGGTGTATCTGCAATACTTATGTTGATATTGTCTGTAAACTTTGGGATATCCTTCATCAAAACCCACGCATGATCAAACTTAAATTTTTTTTTTATTTTGGATCTTGTATCAACAATTTTTAGCTTTTTCCATCTGCATAATATTTGAAACATAAAATTTAGCTAACTACAAAAACTAACATAAATAGAGTAGAAAATAAAATTGTTACAAATATCAAATGTAAATAGTGTAGAAAAAATATTACTTACAATTTCAAATTCTGATGCACCACTTGGATGCATATTCTCCACTTGGGTTATGCAGCTCTTCAAGTTCCTAACAACATATGTAATCATATTCATCATACCTTGTAGAGGTCTAAGGGTTCTAATTTTCCAACCCCCTTTTTTTGTTCATTGTAACTTTTTTGTATTTTCTCCCATAGTGAACCTAGTGATTGGTTATTGCTACCAATTGGATCTTGTGATATTTCTAAATACTCACAACATAATAATTCATCTTTATGTTGAGTGAATGATGAGCCTCTACTTTTTTCCATATTTTTTTAAGAAAGAAAGAGTTGGTTGAAAGTATTACTGGTTCATTGAATGAAGTCTAGCTATATTTATATACAATAATGGATAGATAAGAATTCTAATGAATGGTGTAGATTTGTTTCTCAGATTTTCTTAAAAATTTTATACATTAAATGGTGGATAAATAGGATAAGATTTTAATCCCATGGTTGGTGGAGATAGGAGATCTCATGAATGGTGTAGATTAATTTCTTAGATTTTTTCTAGATTTTTATAAATTAAATGTTAGATAAGATTTTAATCCAATAGTTGGTGGAGATGGGAAATCTCATGAATGGTGTAGATTAATTTCATATATTTTCACAAGATTTTTATATATTAAATTTTGAATAAGATTTTAATCCAATGGTTAGTAGAGATGGGAGATCTCATGAATGGTGTAGATTAATTTCTCAATAATTTCTATTTTAAAAGATGTATTACTTGAATAGATTGGATAAGATTTGATCCAATGTTAGATAGATATATGAAATCTAATGAATGGTATAGATTAAATTCATCAGATTTTTTATCTTATTAAAATACTAATATTCTATATTTATAAAATATTCATTTGGAAGACAGAAAATTTTCATAACATCATCACTAAAATAAAAATGAATTCTAATATTGGAGGCCCATCTTTTCAAAATTCATCTTCTTCTGACTCATCTCAGTTTGATGAATGGTTTATGGAGAGAAAAATAGCAAGAGAGAGAGAAGAACAAATTGCAGTCAATTTGTTTGTAAATATTTTATTCACCAACTCACTCAAGAAAACGATCATGTAAGTCATCACGGCTCTATTCTTGGTCATGCAGTCATACATCGTGATAGAGAAAATGCACATCGTAATTTATTCAATGATTACTTTTCAATAACCCTGTGTATGGTGAAAGAGAGTTTCATCCTCGTTTCCAAATGTCACAAAGGTTATTTCTTCACATTGTTGATGCTGTTAAACAACATGAAAAATACTTCACTCAAAGACGTGCTGCATCTGGTAGAATGAGCTTTTCCACCCTGCAAAAAGTAACCGCTTCTATTCGTGACGTATGGTATGCCTGCTGATGCCACAGATGAATACATCAAAATAGGAGAGTCTACAACAATTGAATGCATGAAGAGATTTTGTCGCGCGATTGTAGAAGTATTTTCAGAGTGGTATCTCAGATCACCAACATCAGAAGACATTGCAAGGCTTCTCCATATCAGTCAGCAACGTGGATTTCCAGGAATGCTGGATAGTCTAGACTGTATGCATTTGAAGTGGAAAAATTGTCCAACCGCATGGGCTGGACAGTTTGCAGGTCGTAGTGGATCACCTATAATCATTCTTGAAGCAGTTGCAGACTACGATCTATGGATAGAGCATGCTTATTTTGGTATGCCAGGCAGCAGAAACGACATTAATGTTTTGAAGGCATCTAATCTATTTTCAAAGCTTGCTCAAGGTACTGCTCCTCCAGATAACTATATTATTCAGGGAAAATAGTATAACATGGGTTATTATTTAGCTGATGGTATTTATCCGAAGTGGTCAACGATTGTTCAAACTATAAGCAATCCCCAAGGCCCAAAGAAAAATTTGTTTGCAGCAAGACAAGAATCATGTCGAAAAGATGTTGAACGTGCATTTGGAGTTCTACAATCTAAGTTTGCTGTCATAGCAGGATCATCACGTTATTGGAAAAAAGAAGTATTACATGATATAATGACAGCATGCATTATAATGCATAACATGATAATTGAGGATGAACGTGATGTCAACGCTCCGATCAGAGACGCAAGATCAACGCCAGAGGCAACAGTTAAGATGGCAATAAATGAACATACTCGTTTTGAACAATTTTTAGCTTGTAATCTGCAGATTAAAAATAAAGAAGCTCATTTATCACTTCGAAATACTTTGATTGATCATATATTGGAGCATTACAGTAATAGTTTTATTGAAGAAATTGGTATTTTTTTTGTAATTTAAATTTTTAGTTTGTATATTTTATTATTATTTATATGTAATGTTATATTAAAGTTGTATTAATTATTATTGCCTATAATAATTTTAATATGTATTTTAATAGTTATTTATCAAAGTTTTATGATCTTAGTTAATTATTATCAATAGTAAAGACTAAAATGCAAGGTATAATATTTTTAAGGTTTATCATTGGAGAACCTCACCCTCAACCCTTAAAAATACAGTGTCTCTTGGAGATGCTCTTACATGTTTTTCAATTTTCTTATTCCTCATCTCTTCTTTTCTTCTCTCCTTCATCACTTCTATTTCTTCAAGATTTGTCTATTTCTTTTCTACTTTTTGCTTTGTTCTATTCTTTTTACTATTTTTTATCTTTCACTTTTTTTTCTTTGTATCTTCCTTATTCTTTTGTCTGATATTTATTTGTAATCTTTTTTTTCTCATTTTAACACCTTTGTCTTTTTTTTCTTCCCTAAATTTATTGACTGCCTTTTTTGGTGTAACAATTTTTTTACTTTCGGATCAAACTGGTTATTGGGCAATCAGAATTATAATAAGTGTACCTGACGTTATTCCGATAATAGGATCTTCATCTCTTCTCCTTCTTATTCATCAACATCTTTGTATTGTCCAACTTATTCTTATTTTTGGCTTTCGTCTGATTTTTAGTTTTCTTTCTTCATCTTTTCTTTATTCT